CGATCGAGGCTAGTCTAAAATTGAATCGCTAATAATTTGGTTCAGAGTAAAGCAATTTGAAATTTTCAGCATATTCTGTTTTCATTATCTAATTTTCTTTATCTAATCTTACCTAATGCCCCTTTAAGGTAGAGTATGATTACTCTCTCCAGAACACCTGATACCACTTGACACATATGTGAGCATGTTTACGGAAATACTAATAATCAAACTAATTCCACACCCCAGAGAATTCGTTTTTATTTCTTTTCTTTCATCTGTCATATAGATATTATTAACATGATATTATAACCGTGTTATTAACTTCCCCTGTAGTATTTCTATCTCTGTCAGGTAACGTGATAACTTTTAATGAGTTAAACACATTTAGTTTAATGCTGGAGCCACTGGCTGTATTATTCTTGTTATATGCCAACATATTTGATGGGGATTTCAATTCTCATTTCGTTTAAGAGGTTAAAATCAGGTTTAAAACTGTTCCCCTGGTGTAAGCAATAAATAATGACGGGTGCGGTGCACGAGATAAGGTATGCTTACTCTTTAAATAACACCATTTGAAAAAAATATTATTTTAAAGTTCACACTGCAAATAAGTTATGGTTATTCGGTATCCTTTTGTGTAGACCTCAATAAAAGAGAAAAAAATAGAAATGTGGTTTAATGTTTACTCGACACAAACTAGGTCATTTCGGGACTAACACACGCTTCAGTTTTATTTTAATAATTCGCTTCCGCGTAGGGGTCTTTAGCAGTGGGAGGAAATCGGAGGACCCCGAGAAAACCCACAGGATTGGACAGGGGACCCTATCCTTGTTACGTACAACCGGGGAATCGAAACCACGCCAGTTGACTCAATGACAGACCTTATGATACAGCGCGCACACGCGCACTATTCGGCCATCCAACCCTAGAACTCAATAAATGAAATGAAATGGGGTTTATGGTATAAACAACGCTACTGAACACGGACATATCCACATGCAGACTTGTCTGTGAGAGAAATTGTACCCGGACACTTAATCCAGTGGGTCTTTAAAGGGTAGTGAGACAGCGCCTTACTCACTAAGACACTCCATCCCAGCCCCATCCTGTCAATTGGGAGTACTAAAGTTACTAAAATTTACATGATTGGGTCGTTGTAAGTGTTCCAAAAAGTCTAAAAAGAAAAAAAACCAGGGATCGTATTCTACGAGAATGTGTTATAACAGAATAAGCATACTCCGCCTGGTTTACCACACTTCGTAAATGTATGCCGAAGAATGCCGATTGTGTTTTAGATTTGTACTAACTTCAAATGAGAAGTGTTATCGGATTTCTAGACTCTGTAAACATTCTTCACTTGGCATTATGCAATTTTAGGTTCCAAGTCAGGTCAGATTCTGTAACTAGAGACAAAGGTATCCCAGAACATCTTGGATATAAATAATGTCTTTATTACATTCTTCTCTTGAAGCTGATGAAAATCAGAGAATTACGAAACATGTTTTGAAGTTCCCAAGGTCTGTTGTTTCATTTCTTTGGAGAATTGTCGTTAATATTTTTTTCGGGGGTTAGATATTACCAAGCGATACTTACATATTCTTACAGGAAATATGGTTGGAGTTGCTTACAGTGTTAGGTGAAACATAAATCTGAACGAATAGTTATTTGTACAGACATAATCAAGTTGATCTCGGCTTGTTTTGTGAAGGCATAAAAAGATAATAAAATGCTACAAGAATTATCACACATATCCTAAATAACATGCATTGGTTTTCTGGGAATTAGATAGCGCTATTTGAAGCATTTTTCATGTGAATTCTTGTAGAAAGCGATGGTAGTATATAAAATATGTATGTTGTGCGTGTAGACATATCGCCTCCTTATATCATAGATTGTTTTTTATGTCATACATTAATCTACCAATCCCACACATAATATATAGAGTCTGTATAAATACTGCTCGTATCGGTCGATTTAGTTGAAATGAAATGATTGGGGTTTAACGTCCTACCTTTCTACGCGGACTTGGTTTAATGAAGATGGGTGGGGTGGGGCATTCGCCATTTTGCGTGAACAGCAGCACTACAGCATACCCTTAATTCGAAGTGCAATTGTTGAGGGACCGTTTACGTGCACGCCAACGTGTAACGGGACCTTGGTTTTTGGTCCCATCCGAACGACTAGACACTGTTCCATGTCAGGCCCGACAAAGGGTGAGTGTGCTGTTGTTTGATTGTCTATTAAAAGGGTACGTTGTCGGATCATTATTTGCTCGGAATATATTTATTAGCACTTGTCGAATTTCTCGCAAAGCCCACTTGCAAACGATTCCCATCAGCCCCCTCCTGTTCGAAGGGACTGGGTCAGTCCATTATTCGAAAAACATCGTTAATTCGTTTTCATTATGATGATGAGTTAGTTGTATTTTACGTCCGCTTCCACCGAGGTGATATCGCAGACAAGTTTTCATTATAATCTAATTTAATTTCTATAGGTTAGTTCCTTGTTAACAGTTGTATATTTCAAACGGCCTGGAATAAGTACAACCCATGGATAAAACAATAACAGCCCCGTTTTAATGGTTGTATATTCTAAACAGCCCGGAATACAACCCATGGTTAAACCAATAACGTACAATAAAAGACACATTTTACGTGTCGTTAACAAACGCTGCCTAGGGAACTAACACTAACAATCCAATGCAATCTATCGAGTTGTCTATCAGAATGTGTTGTGGATCTGGGAAGTTCATTAAGCTGTGGGTTAGATTAGAAGAAACGAGGCATGTATTAAAACACGCCTCCCCGTAGATTCAACATGATTCCACCTTTTATCAGTGTTTTTAAACTCTTATTGACTTTATAAACCGTTAAGTGGTTTTCAGTCTTTATTATGTGATGTTGTGTTGAGGTTAATGTATTTATCATATCGTATTTATAAACCATAACCATCGTGTATTTAATATCTACACGCTAGTAATCACAGTTTAATAAACGTTTTACCAATTTTTCACAAACTTCTTCATGTACGTTATACTAGTTTTTCAAAGCTAAAATGACTTTGCAAGTTCAGTGTGTGCCCCCCCCCCCCCCCACAAGACCCCCAACAAAAAGAGATTATAACAGATGTCTGGGTGATAGCAATTGAATGTTATGTTATTAAACTTTTTATACGCCCACATGGAAATGTGGTCGTATATTGCCGTCGCTCTACAGACTACATTTATCATCTGATTGTTTTGAAATTGATATATGTTGTTTGCATTAGTGAGGTGAAGAGGCCTATTTAATTTCAATAACTTCCGTTAATTTCGTCTGGAGTTATGGCCCTTGTTTCACTTTGTTGCACCTTGTGAACGCTCTAACGACAAAAGTTATCAACCGATCTGTATGAAATTTATATGCATCATTTAAATTAGTAAAACAAAGAAGCCTATTGAATTTCAGCAATTTCCGTTAATTACATCTAGAGTTATGGCCCTTGTTTCACTTTGTTGAATCTTGTGAACGCTCTAATGACAACAGTTATCATCCGATCTGTTTGAAATTGATATGCATCATTTAAATTAGTGAAACGAAGAAGCCTAATGAATTTGAGCAATTTCCGTTAATTATGCCGTGAGTTATGGCCCTTGTTTCACTTTTTTGTACCTTGTGAATGCTCTAACAACAAAAGTTATTATCCGATCTGTATGAAATTGATATGCATCATTTAGATTAGTAAAACAAAGAAGCTTATTGAATTTCAGCAATTTCCGTTAATTACATCTAGAGTTATGGCCCTTGTTTCACTTTGTTGCTTCTTGTGAACGCTCTAACAACAAAAGTTATCAACCGATCTGTATGAAATTTATATGCATCATTTAAATTAGTAAAACAAAGAAGCCTATTGAATTTCAGAAATTTCCGTTAATTACATCTAGAGTTATGGCCCTTGTTTCACTTTGTTGAATCCTGTGAACGCTCTAATGACAACAGTTATCATCCGATCTGTTTGAAATTGATATGCATCATTTAAATTAGTGAAACGAATGTCAGCAATTTCTGTCAATTACTTCTAGAGTTATGGCCCTTGTTTTACTTTGTTGAATCTTGTGAACGTTCGAACGACAAAAGTTATCATCCGATCTGTATGAAATTGATATGTATTATTTGAATTAGTAAAACGAAAAAGTCTGTCGAATTTCAACAATTTCTGTAGATTACTTCCAGAGTTACAGCCCTTGTTTTAGTTTTTAGAACCTTGTGAACCCTCAAACGACGAAAATTATAATGTCATCTGTATGAAATTGTCCATTAAATGCCCCCTAATTACCTACAAAAGAACAAATATACGACAACTCTTGTCGACCGCCGGACGATTTAGCTGCTGCGGGCGTATGTTTAGTTGCCTGGCAACCTATCTTTATCAATTTATGTGAAACCTGTTGTATTATTATGTGCATATATGTCTGTTCTCCAAATCTAACAGGAGTGGGTGCCACGGTGACTAAGTGAGTAAGACACTGGTTCGTTAGCCTGGAGATCAAGGGTTCGTTTCAGGTGTTCGCCGAGAAAGTTTATAGGGATTTCCTAACCATATTCCTTCCTTCCCTGTCAACACTCCCACCTGCCATCTCCTCTATTCCACACCCCTATCTTCCACCCCTTCCTGTCCACACCCCTATCTTCCACCCCTCCCTGCCAACTTCCCCTCCTACCCATAACCCAACCCTTTAGCATCCGTCACCACACCCCATTTAAAGTTCCAATTAGTTGCACATATATTAGCAGTAAAAACCGGTACTAGAATTATTAATGCAAAATCCTCAAACACACATCGAGATATACCAACAACACACTGAAGAAAAATGTATTTGACATTTAGGTTGCTTTCACAAGTTTACATTCTCTCTAATATTCTTTAGTTGTGATGTCACAAACTCCTTGCTTATGATTGATGACACAAAATGGCTGCTGCATGTGGTATAAATTTTCTCGAATTTCATTTTAACCAATCGAATGTGATTATTTTTGCAGGTGCCCTCGAGTGTGACTGTACAACAGAGGAATGTATGTCTCAGGGCTTGACGACTTGTTTTGCCAACAAATTTTGCTATGCTGAATATTTCCGTGATACTCTGACACGGGGCTGTATTGACAAGGGTACGCCATTACTATGTGAAAATTGGAGGCCGAAGAATCTGAACACCCCCTGGCCTAGTATGTTTTGCTGTAACGATGGAGATCATTGCAATAGAAATGTCCGACCGACAGATCCACTAGATTCAGGTATAATTGTTAACATTTTAAATACAAGGAAATATGCATAAAACAAATTGTTTAAAACAAATTGTTTATGTATAGGAAGGGTTATCACCCTTTGTGAAATGAAATGAAATGGGGTTTAACGTCCTACTGTTCTGCTCCTATACTGGGCTAATGAAGACGGGCATACGCCATACAGTGTGCTATGAGGGAAATTTTGCCAGGGCAGCGGCACTATCGCCTACTCTTATATCGAATTCCAACTGCCAAGGGATCTTTTACGTACATTCCAATGTATACACGGGACCTCGGTTTTTCGTCTCATCTGAAAGACTAGACAGCTGTCCTTGTCAGGCCCTCCGTTCTGCACCACTGACAAGGGGAAACCACGTCGGAAAATCCAGATGAACTTTCTCGGCCAATGCAGGGATCGAACACCTGACCTCCAGGCTAGCATCACCCTTTGTACTAGGATGGGTAATTACGGGGCAGGGATTAGCCGAATGAGCAATTTGGAGATTCAGAAAGTTGTCGTGTTCTGTTCACACCTTTTCAGTCCAGGTCATGAGACAGAGTAAATAGGGAATCCCTTACGAGTTTTTTTTTTATATCAAAAAATATCAACATAAGTCGATAAAGTAAAAAAAAAAACCGATGCTCTGCCGATTTTTCTTTTTTTTTTACTTTATCGACGAGTGTTGATATTTTTTGATATTAAAAAAGATGAGTAGGAGATTTTATTTATCACTCAATCCTTTCTTACATTCACAAATAAATAAATATTATTCTTTGCTGTAGATGTCACTTTTACTGAACCTGATTACATTATGGCGTAGTGATACATCACTTTTTGACAGCAATTCAACCATTGCAAAGTCCTTTATATTGACCCAGCGTTTCCATCAAAGTCAATTAAATAAAAATTGTTCCCTTTTAATAAGAAAGAAGTTACTTTTAATAAAAAATGATCTGTTCTTTGAAAATAAAAAAAAGTAGTTCATGTAAAGCGATATATTATTGGGTGATAAAGGACATTCTGGTCTTACCCCCCCCCCCCCCCGCATGGTTACTTGGGTGGAGATTCTCAGTTTACAGAAGACAAGTTGTCGCTCAAAGTCTTGATTGATCGAGGACGACTATGGGTTATAACTGCCCCTGCACTAAAAAAAAATCCACACACAAAACCGAAATCTGCGATCGGATGTCTCACATCACTGCAAATAATGTCAATAAATGGTTGCATTATGTTTATGGTTATTAGTTTCTGGTTGAACGAGTCTTTAGCATTGATTTTTGAGTCAGTAATGTGAAAGCTGTCTAATAATTTCAGACATTGTACGGATATTCCTTGTGTAAGTGTTCCGATGAAACATACAATCCCGTATCTCTTTATTTACGTTAGTCTTAAAACGAACAAAGTTTTCCTTTTTTTGTACTTTTAATACGGAATGCGAAAATTGAGACTTTGTATTCCTTATTATAAATACAAAAAATGTGCCCCTTCACGTGGCCGTCCCTTAAAAATGCACCTATTCCCTTAAAATGTGCCACTTCTCATAAAATGTGTTGCATTCCTTTACAATGTGCCCCTTCCCTGCAAAATGTACCCCTTCCCATAAAACGTGACCATTCCCTTAAAACGTGACCATTCCCTTAAAACGTGACCATTCCAATAAAATGTGTCGCTTCCCTTAAAATGTGCCGCTTCTCATAAAATGTGTAGCTTCCTTTAAAATGTGCCCCTTCCCTGAAAAATGTACCCCTTCCCTTAAAACGTGGCCGTTTCATAAAAATGCACCTCTTCCCTTAAAATGTGCCCCTTCTCATAAAATGTGTCGCTTCTTTTAAAATGCGCCCCTTCCCTGAAAATGTACCTCTTCCCTTAAAACGTGACCATTCCCTTAAAAACGTAACCATTCCCTTAAAAACGTAACCATTCCAATAAAATGTGCCGCTTCTTTTAGAAATGTGCCGCTTCCTTTAAAACTGTGAAGTGGTACCAGATCTTCTAGAAATAGCAATTACTCTATATCGTTACCTAAACGTATTTTAATTTTTTTTTTTTTTCAGTTGAAGCCACGACGATCGTATCAAATATCGACAAAAGCGATGATGCAGATAGTGTGAAGAAGCCCGATTGTCCGAATACGGAAACAAACAGTTTGATACGAAACAGCGGTAGCAGTAAATTAATGAACCCAATTTATATAGCCGTACCCGTGGCTGGTGTGTGTGTTTTATTGGCGTTAATCATATTCGCCATGTATTTATTAAGAAGAAGAAATGACTTCTATCACCATTATCATTATCAAGAACATCCGGCCCACCTCGCTCAAAACTCTTGTGAGAACAAAAAAACAGTGACGGGTTGTGGTTCCGTGAACCGATGCACAGACAGTGAGCGATCGAGCTCGGGAAGCGAAACGAAACTCTTTTTGCAGGTCTGAGGCCGGTTTTAAAAATCTCCGAGATATATATTATTGTGTATTAAAAAATAGAAACTCATCGTGTATGTGTGCTGGTGTGCTAACGTGACTCATTTGTGAGATAACCTCATGTGTGCGAGCATGGACGTATTGGAATTGTGCGCGTGAAAGAGAATGTGCGCGTTAGATATAAATTGTTATATTACGAAACTATGCGGGTGGGATAATCATGTTATGAATTAGAACATGTAGTATTGCTTAATTACCATAGTTTTATGGATTCAAAGACATCAAATATCTAAAACAAAGTTGTGGACTATATTCAAATATCTAAAATCGCTGAAACTCTTTGATTTAAGCCAAAATAAAGTAATGAATTACGTTGATCCGACGATTAATGTTGGGGAAAACTTTATACGATCAAAAGTTTGTTTGGAATGATTAAGCGGAAGTCGGCATATTTTCTAATTTTAGTATCATTTTTGACTTGTCGACAGCGAAACACATATCAGTTATCTATAGACGTAATTTATTTTAACCGGGACATCCCACAAACAAATTCTAAACATAAAATTCAATGAAGAAAACAATTTTAATATTGACCCAAATCAAAGAGTTCCAGTCGTTTTCTCCAACATACAAGTATTTTCTTTCTAAATCAGAAATATAATAAATTCTTTTTATAAGCCATTAGACATTTTGGACCTAATTTCTGTAAAATGTATCGGTACAGTACATCGCCTTTAATCCTTTGGACCAAATTCCTACCATTTCTAATCTCTTGTGTACTTACATTTATGAGTATAATGAATTGATGTGAACTAATCAAAATGCAAGAAGTATTGTATTTTGCTTTATGAAACGCACCTGTTACAAAGCTTCAAGTTTAAAAAATTATGAGAGTTCAAAGGGAGATAACTCATTGCTCAGACTATTTTCTTGCACATTATGCAACGAACATACGTTACGTTTATCACATTGTTACTAAACATTTTGAACACTACGTCTTACCTCAAAAAGAAATTAATCATATTTTATCACTGTTCCATAAACATAAAATACATGTACATTGTAAAGTTTTAAAAGATTCTGTAGAAATGGTTAGGCTAACGTGACTCTTCTTTACGATAGCACGGTTTGGATCAGAAAAACGGGCATGGCGTCATAGACACCATCTTGGAATTGTGACGTCATACTATAAAAAATCAAGGTCAGTCAATCGATACGCAAACATCCAAGGAGCAAGCATGCCGAGTGTCACGTCGATCATACTTGAATTGATGGATCATTAGGCTTTTTTTTTTCGAAAGGCGTCGCCCCTAGGAAAAAGAACAAGAAGACGAGTAGCGCTTGGTAGGCCTACCCAGTTCCTTGTCCAAAACGAAGACAAAATACTACGTACTCATATTACTGTTTGTATAATAAGCGTTCTGATTCAAGAAATTATACAATAGATCTGCTGCATAAAATGACGTAGCAATGTAAACGTATCCACTGTCATTTACAAACAGTCAACGTTTAAGCGAGCGGCAATGGGTTTCTGGGATCGCTTGGAATAGAGTCTACCAGTTTCTCTGTTTCTTTTTTGAAAGGTGCATTAAGCCTCTCAAGCAAATCAAACACACAAAAAACATTTAAATGTCATACATTCATATTGTTATACAATCTTGTTAAAATTATACCACTATTTCTTTTCGTTAATTGTTCTAAATTTTTACATTTCTTTGTAGTATGCCTACAACTGAACATAAAGCGAAACGAAATAGTCACCTGATTTTAATAAGCTTGTATTGTTATTATTCATTGTACTGCTTTGTAATTTATGTATATATATATATTATAATATCTTGTATATATTTATATGTGAGCTGTATATATTTTTTTGGTAATATCTAATTGAGATATATTGTATACTGTTACGTAATTTGTAAAATGTTACATTTGTATATTTTGTGAAATTAAATAAAATATTGAAAAAAATTCAGTAAAATTTTAATAAAAATGAAACCTAAACAGATTAATTTCAATAATTTTTTTTATGGAAATGGAAGTGCTATTATATAGTTTGTTATGATTTTATTCATTATAGAATTTAAAAATTAAAAATTTATTAAGTAATTGCAATCAAATCGCACATTCAAAGTCAAATAAAATATATCAAAAATAATAGAAAAGGATTTATTTGTTTTATGAAATCTCCAAATGAAATCCTTTAGGGATGTATATGTCTCACAACCTCGCCTGTTTCGGTGTTTTCGGAGATCAAATCGTAGAGAATGGTGATACAGCTATAGGCTAGTAAACTTAATGTTGGCTGTCAACCAAAAAGCAGTACCGGTTTCTTCAATTACGTCTCCAAAAAGCTAAATATAGTTATTAGTGTCGTGAAGGAGGAAGCGTATGCTCGACCTCCCATGTTCACATTTCGGGCTTCTAGTTTTCGAAACTTTCCGGGGGATGCCACCTGGAACCCCCCCCCCACCCGCTTGTGAGCTTCGCGCCTTCGGCGCCCGAGCTCCTCCTTATCCCTGGTCTCTGGATCCGCCTTTGGAGCTTCTTCGGTTAGTGTCAATACGTGGGTCTCCTACAACAAAAGAAATGTTGTCACAGCTTACCTGTTGTTTTTTATGTATAAAAAGCGCAATCATGTCTGTTAGTTAATAGCTGAACAAATATTTAAATTTCGTACAGATGCAATCTGGCGGACTATTGGGGCATAATTCTCGAAATCATCGAAACTCAATGCCAACAGGGTTGTTTTAACCAAATCGAACCACAAAGAAAATCCGGTTGACAGTCCAATATCTGGCTGCTTAAAAATTACAAAGCAAGGGCAGAGAATTTTGCCCGGACAGCGGCCTTTCCGCCTACTCTTAATAGTCTTAAAGGTACTTATACGTGCACACAAATGTATACACGTATGTACATAAAACATTTTATACTTGGGAATACAGTAAATGAAATAAAATGGGATTTAACGTCATGCTGTTCTGCAACCACCGGGCTAATGAAGCAGGGTATACGCTATGTGCATGATGCAGTGCGCGAAGAGGAAAATTTTGCGCGGACAGCCGCGCTACGACCTACTCTTATTTCAAATTCCAATTGTCATTTTACATGCACGCCAACGTGTACGCCGGATCTCTGTTCATTGACAGGACCTCCGTCTTGATGCCATCGGATGCTCGAGATTTCCAACAGACTTAAATTCGATTGACAGTTAATGATTTAATTTAAAAATGGATAATCTAGACTTCGTTGATTATGTAATCTTTATATCGTCATAAGAATATAATCCATTGGTTTCCTTGGCCACGAAGACAGGGGGTTAGAGATATGCATGGTCTTAGCATAATTTGTTTACAACTAATGAACTAAAACCTCGACGTTACCTCTAAATCAGTGAAAAAATAAATAGACTATTTTGCATATTACCCATGATACAACATATGTTTCTTGTTATAATAGCTTCTTTGATTTCCTGGATACTGATAACATATGACAACTTATTTGGACGACGTCATAACAAAACCTCATTGTTTCCCTTAATTTGGCCACTATATAGAATACCTGACCCCCTTCCCCAATAAGATTCGTTGAGATTTATTAATATGGTGATTAGAGGTTCATTTCTGGATGAATATAGGTCGAATCGTTTATTTTACAATTTCCTATATGCACCGGTGTACACCTACACATGACGGAACTGTGATCGTAAGTGATGTAATTCCTTAAAGATGCCTTATGTTAGGGTGACCCACCATAAATAAATATCTCCAAATATCTCGACAATTACGCCACAATATTTATATATATGCCAAGCCTCAAATCAGTTTCACACAATTATAGTCACTAAATAAACGATCATGTTGTACTTAATAAGCTATGACCATTAATCATCTATAAATACTAGACTGAAAACTGGTTCCAAGTTGCGTCCATAACATCCCGACACTTTTGAGTAAAAGATAGGTTACGTGCCCTTGTTTTGAAATTAGTCTCGCTTAACCAGTCTATCGACCATTCTACGTCTGATTGACAGGTCGGGATAATCAAGACTAATTTTTTACGAAACATAACAGAAAGCTAGAACAAGAAATTGAATTTAGAAATAAGCACTTTAGACAACTCAACAATTGTTTTAAGAAACTTGTAAAAGTAAAATGAAACTACTGCTAGTATCATGTTCCTGCTAAAGAAAGTGATTCAGAGATAGTATTTGTACTAAACCAAAAGATGCCGCTCTTAACGGTACAGTTAATGATAAAGCAATTTAAAAAATAAAACAAACGTAATTACTAAAGCTGCTGTAATAACCAAGAAGCTAAATTTTACTGCTATTCAAAATCGTCAACAATAGATTTTTTACGGCTGTAATAGTTGATATATTTGTAGAGAATTGCACGTGCCATGGCTATTTATCGACTCAAAGCGAGTGCGGGGTAGTCAGAAATCAGTTCGAGACACGCAACTGAAGCGTGCACATTTAGCCGTGTCGAGACCAACTTTCTGTAAAGTGCACGGGTCATCCTACTTATGTAGGAGCTAAATTTGATAATTGAGAGAGGGAGAAATGGGGTTTAACGTCCACTCGACACAAACTAGGTCATTTTGTGACTAACATGGTTTTATAGCAATAACGACCAGCTCTTTCTCTAATTCTAACATAAAGCGTCTTGAAGCAAATCTAGCCATCACTTACAGACATTCGTCACACTCTGTATACTAAATACTACTTTTAGGCTCGGGTATTTATGAATTCCAGTCCCAAAATAGTTCATTATCATTCAGTATCAACAACAATGTGGTGATTCTGTCGACCATATTAAATTAACGGGATCATATGTTATAAAACCAGCGCCACCGAAGACTCCGCTTAACTACTATTGCGATTTTGATTTCTTGGCCATATGTTAACTAATCATTTTGTGTAGATTTTAGCGTGGAAAGACAAATTACACCGACATTACCAGGAATAAAACAACAAATATCAAATCAGTATTTTGTGATATAGGGGAGGTAACTACTATTTTTTAAATGATTAAACTATGTATTTTAGTTATGTGAAGTAACAGAAATAATGTTTAACGTTCTACTTTTCTGACTGGGATGATGAAGACGGACACAAGCCACAGCGGCACTGTGGCCTACTCTTATTCAATATGATTAAAATACAGATCTATATTTCGTTTCGTTATTTATAGTTTCGATGGCCTCTACTAGTGTAATAAAGACAAGTAAAACAAAAGTTTTAACTATAAAAAACGAAACGAAATAGGATCTGTGTTTTAATCATATTCACTCTTATTGGAGATTCTGTTGCGGGTTATTTTACGTGCACACCAATGTGTGCGCGGGGCCGCGGTTTTTCGTACCACCGAACGACTAGACAGCATTCCTTGTCCCATCTACGCCCTGCACCAATGAGAAGGGGAAACCACGACGGAAAATCCCGAGGAACTTTCTCGGCCAACATGGGGAGCGAACCGGATAGCTCCTGGTTATCGAGCCAGCGTCTTACCCACGGAACCACCGCGACTCCCTTGTTTATATGATAGTTGTTATATATTTCACTACCAATAGTGAACATTATGAAAATAATCAATATCTAAACATTCCCCACAAACCTAAGGCTTCAAATATATATCAAAAATAATATATGAAAAAATACAAAAAAAATTCGAACAATAAAAAAACTATCTTTACTATTAATGGGAGAGAACTCTATCACATCAGCTTGGTATTTTAACCACTAGCACCAGTAAAGTACAGAGAAAATGAGGGCTAATTGAATAAATATTTGTGAAATATTCGTTCTGGGTTATGAAGTTATCAGGCAAATAGTACATGATTGTGAGATAAGGCCCAATTTTAAAACTATTTTCCAATAAACTGATTCGAAGAAATCAGTGTTTGAAACTGTATACCGCTACACTGATTCGGTTATAAAATAAAATGAAATGGAATGGGGGTTTAACGTCCTACTTTTCTACAATGACTGGGCTAATGAAGACGGGCATACAGTCATGCAATGTGCTATAAGGGAAATTTTGCCCTGACGGCGGCGCTATGACCTACTATTATATCGAATTCCAACTGCCAAGGGATCTTTTACGTGCTAGCCAATGTTTACACGGGACCTCGGTTTTTCGTACCATCCGAACGACTAGACAGCTGTCCTTGTCATCATGCACCACTGACAAAGGGGAACCACGCCAGAAAATCCAGATGTAATTTCTCAGCCAACACCGGGATTAAACACGGGACTCCTGATTAGCGAGTCATCGTCTTACTCACTGAGTCACCGTGGGTCTCTTAAAGATACATTAGTTCAGAGTTTAATAAAGAGTTGGTCATTCTTGCTATAATAATTCAAAAATAGATAATAAAAAAAGAAAATATTGAAAATTTCATTCAAATTACTTCATTCTCAACCAAGTTATCATTGTTTGTAGTTTTGACAAGATGTGTGCACAGTGGTAACCAGGGCACTGGTATAATCGGGACTTAGCCTCGCTTTCCCATTTTTAAATTAAAATTTTAAATTGCGAACCGTTTTAATTGAGTTAAAAGCTCGAATATCCGATGCCATCGAAAGTCGATTATGGTCTTGTTTTGTTAATAAATGTCTAATTAATAGTTTATATAACAATAGGCAGATTTAGCTCTTGCATAATGTATGATTAAAGATTAGCACGACATGTGTTACTCGTCGTGGCTTATTAAGTTTATAATGATATTGTATGACATCCAACATGATATGCTGCACATCGACACTTACATTTTGTAGAGCACACATGGAAACACTGCAAAGATATGACCCCATGTCACCATTTTCGTGTTCGTCATCCACATAAATATTTAGATAAATTGTTTTTGGGCTGGTAATATTAATGTAATGCATTTACTTAAATTTCTGTAAGCATAAAAAGCGCGTGCTAAGGTCTGTCATTGAGTCAATTGGCTTGGTTTCGATTCCGCAGTAGTACGTGACAAGTTGTGGGTTTTCTCTGGGTCCTCCGG